ATAATCATTAAGAAATTAGAAATAAACATTCATAAACACATTAATGTTCGATAGATAATTATTTGTAATAATAATTATTATTATCTTAATTGAAAGAGGAATTAGAAAAGAATAAAAGAAATTTTGATAAAAAGGATCCTATTTCTGATGGTCTTCAGAAAGCAGAGCTTCTTCGAGCTAAACAAGATATAGTAAATCGTATAATTCAAATCGGAGAAAAGGTAAGATTCTTTATCCATGAATAATATAATTTTTAAAAAATATACGTTGTGACGATACTTTTCCACTGGGGTAGGTGTACTCAGTATTCACCTTCCTCCAGGACACTAATTTATCAGCTAACATCCCTGGTTCGCTTATAATCATTATAAACGACGGGCGCCAAGTTATTTTTATCGCCAGAATAACTAAACTGGCAAAACTTACATCTAAATCCAAAAAAAAACTTAAACCTAGACCAAAACTTACAACTAATCTTAAATCAAAATCCAACAAAACTCTCACAATTCTCAAAAATCTTAAAACTAATTACGAAATCTTAGACTAAACTTAATTAAGATGCTGCTGGTAAAGAGGTCCTGACAGGGGATCTCCTGGAGCTCAGTTATGTGGGTTGTGGAGAGAGGGTCAGGGCCGGCAATAATCCTCGGTTAGACCCCACAAAAGTATTCAAAATTATTAAATAAACAAACTGAAGTTGAAGGCTCTTCTTTACTAATTATTTAAATACCAATTATCAATTAATGCTTAATTTATTAAAACAAAATCAATTTTCTTATTCATTATCCAATTAACAAAAATCATAAATCATTCTGTAACGATTCTGCATCATCAATAAAGAAAAATATTTTACAAACAAATAATTCTAACTCGAATTCTGGAACAAGTTTTAAATAATTACCTATCGTTTCTAAAATTTAAACATTAATTAACCTTAATCTAACGGCTCTAATCTCAAATACACTGATTTTTATCTTATAAATGACTCTAAAACCCGAAGCAAAATCATCAATATCTCTTATAATTTAAACTATAACATTCTAAACTGAATTTATTAACTAACTAAATCACGAAAGCAAGCCAAGGGTGGAAGATTCCCTACATTTCATTATTCTACTTCTAAACTGTAATAAAACTACCGAAAATTACCAAATATCAGACTCAATACGACTTACAGGAGCTGCAGAGGATACTTAGGTGTCGTAAACTGGTCTCGACACGTTCCTGGATATTCGGGAACCTCCTCTCTGCATCAGGGACCTCCCTGTAGTCTGCCATAACTCTACTTGATTGTTTCTTCCTCCTGGGCCTGTTCTCGTCTTCAACCTCCAATAACTCTCGCCATCTTTAATCTTCGAACTCCAATTTCTAACTGCTTCCTTCGATTACCAAAATCGAACTGCTCTCGTCAATCTCCAAAAACGAACTTTTCTCTTCAAGCTCCAAACTACTTCTTCTCTTATCAAACTCCAAAATTGTACGCTCTGCATTCTTTATCCCCACTCCAATCTCACAATCAATCTTCTTATTTGCAGAACCACTTCTCCATTAGTAGCTTCATCACGCGATCTCTCCTAGATTTCATTGTGGAAGGGCGACTTAACCTAGGTGCTTCCTTGGAGGTGAGGTTGATCAGGCTTCCCCCACAAGGCCTGCAAACTTATATCTAATTCTTCAAACTAATTTCTTCACAAAATCTCCAAAATGCCCATTCCACACCTCCATCTCTTCCATTGGAGTGCCATATTACTGGGCCTGATCAAGTGATGATCACTCACAGGGCTAGAACGTCTTCTAGCATGGATCCTCTAACGGGTGGCACGTTTCATTTGGCCCTCATCTCCACGTTAGCGTCCCACTTCTCCTCATAATGGTTTCACAGCTCCTCAAATATTTCTGACTTCTCCTCTACTAGCTCCTCCTTATCCTATTGAGTCTTTTTCTACTACCAAAATTAAATACATAATCTTCCAACCTTGCTACCTCTCTTTACATTAATATTTCAAAACAAGTAATAACAAAAATAACTACCATTCATTAGATTAAAATAGTTTATAAACCAAACGTGAACCATCACTGTAACCATCGGTTAAATAGCCCCTGAGGACTCAAAATAATGAAATATGACGTGAACAATAGCTAGAGCAACCCACATGGGCTACGATTAGCTTCCAATATTCATTAAATTATTCTTTAAGGTGTCAATGGGACGTTATCCCAAAAATAACGTCACAACGTTTATAGAAATTATAAATTTTTGATCTTACCAATTAACTGAATAACTACGAAAAAAATTGAATAATGTAATATTGTTGATAAAAGTAATTTTAAAATGTTTTAAAGACCTTACTATAACAATAATTTTAGAAGACAGCTAGATGATGTGTCATGTTGATAAAAGTGAGTTAATAATAATTTTTTACAGGGTCGAGAAGTGTAAAAAAATATGAAGAAATTATAGTTGGACGTGATAACATTTATTTATGATTTTCGCGCGGCAATATCAAAGCTTGAATGTCATGAACAGATACATTTGATTCGTTGTGCACTGAAGGCATTGGAATTCGACAATGGTGACGGTAAAATGAAGGAAAATGAAGAGAAATCGAATAACTTTAGAAAAAGAAAAAATACACTAATTCAAAAAAGTTATAGTGACGAGTCTAATACAAATGGAATTCACAACAGAAAAGCAGATTTATTGGCGGAAGTAAAGGAGTTACAAGAGAAAAATAAAAATCTTTCATGTGGTATTGAAGAGCTTGATCAACAGCATGCTTAATCAATCGGTATGTCACTCTTTTTTTTTCAACTACTGTTAGAATCAATTCTATAAGAATCATAAACACTACTGTACATAATACCTTTCCAATAAAATTGTAAATTATAATAGTTAATAACAATTTATTTATTTTTAGAAAAAATACTGGTTTTTAAAGAAGAATTGCAAAAAAAAAACATCAAGTACTTCAAACTGCGTACGAGTCTTTTCATGTTGACTTCAATGCTGCTCAAGAAAAACTTTCTCTTCTGGAAACGGAATTATCTACTAGTAATTCTAACACGGATCAGAAAATAATTCCAAAATTAGACAAGCACATTTAGTTGAAATGGAAGAGAATCACACGGAAGAAGCTTTACTTATGGAGCAAAGTAAAAAAGAATTAGAAGCAAAACTTATACAAGCTGAAAAAGTTCTTAAAAACAATTCTACTGTATATACATCAGCTATTATGCGAGCTAATCAACAGGTTAAAACTCTTCAACAACAAATGGCTTTAATTATTCAACAGAGAGATGATATTCAAAATAAATTATCAGCTGCTGAGGATAATGTTTTGGCACATACTGCATCTTTGACAAATTTGCAAATTGTTTTGGAACAGTTTCAAAGAGGTAAGCATAAAAATTATTTCAAGTTTTTCGAATCTTTAGTATACCATTTAGAAGTTGACATAATCAGTTATGAGTATCAATCATAAACTGGAATTAAAAGTTTATTAATGAACGGAAACATAAATGAATAATGTTGCTAATATAAATAAAAAATTTAGTGCGTTAGATTGTTAAAATGAAACTGTCGATAATATTTTGATGAAAAAAATTTTTATATAAATAGAACACCTTGATCTCTTGATCAAACAATTGAACCCGGTTATATGCTATTTTCAAATATGAACGTATCACGTTCAATATCATCAACATTAATTTAACTAAAAATTTATTGAAGATTGCAATTATGAAATGTATAAATATTCATAATACTATGTGTTTGATAATGATATAAGATGAGAAAAAATGCTGGGTTAACTCAATTATGGATGTACGAAAATTATTTAACACAGATAAACTTTATTAAACAATAGGCCACAGTTTACAGTAAATGAGTTTATGAGTTCATGGAAACGATGAGCACTGTAGTTACTAGTGAATGAATGTTTGAATGCACTACGACGGGGGTTGTAAGTTCACGCAGTTCACAATGAGTTCAAGAATTATGAATACTATTATCTCTGAGTGTATTGAGCACAGGATGAGTTCAGTGAGCTGCTGAAGTTAATTGTTGAGCACTAATTATGATCTCAATGATTACTTGAATAGAATGAGTTCAGAACAAAGAAAAATGAGTGCGTGTACGACAGCTACGATCTAACGTCAGTGAGCGCGGTTCAGCAAAAAATCGTCGACTCTCGCGTTTCATCGAGAAAATTCGTGAAGCCCGGAAGTCGGCGTCGTTGAGGGGTCCTAATTGGACCGAGTGATGAGTGTTCTGATTGGTTACCGGCCAGGTGACCAGATTTGAATTATTGAATTGAGTGAGGTTAGCTCTTCAGTAATTAATTACTGAACACACCGCCCGCCATCAGCAACAGCGTTGATGATTATTTCGTTGTTGGATGTGGGGTTGATGCAGGGTCGTCGAGCTCCAACGGAAGAATCGCCAGTTTGGTGATCGGACGTTTGAGGACAGTCGTAGCTGTTTTGACTGTCACGACCCTGGTGAGCCCATCCTTGCCAGGATGTAATTCGATGATGAGTGCGAGTGGCCATTTGGTCGGAGGGAACCGATCGTCGATGATGAGTGCTAATGAACCAACCTTGATGTTCTTGGCCTTAGTTTGCCATTTACTAATTGATTGCTGTTTCTGGAGATAACTTGAGCTCCATTCAGTCCGGAAGTCTTGAAACTTCTGCTGAATGAGTTGATAAGTCTTGAGTCTGGTCGGATTTATGTCCCTTGAGGATGGTTCTGGTAGCGTGTTGAGCGGTCTTCCTATTAGGAAATGACCTGGAGTGAGTGCAGCAAGATCGTCTGGATCTTCAGTGAGTTTTTCCAATGGCCTTAAGTTCAATACTGCTTCCACTTGTACAAGAAGAGTCGTAAATTCTTCATATGTTAGAAGAGTATCTTTAATTGTTTTACTAAAATGAGTTTTAATGAGTTTTACAACAGCCTCCCACTTTCCTCCCATGTTCAGGGCTGAGGGTGGATTGAATTTCTACGTAATTTTGTCGTTATTAAATGAATGCATGAGTTTGGTGAATTCTTGAGTGCCTTGAGTAAAGAGATGAGTGATTTCTGCCGCAGCTCCGAGAAAATTTGTCCCACAGTCACTATAAAGAATGCGACAGAGCCCTCGTCGACCGATGAACCGTCGAAAGGCAGCGATGAACCCTTCGGCAGAGTAGTCTGTTACAGCTTCTAGATGCACGGCTGATGTAGCTAGGCAAACAAGGGCACAGATCCTACCTTTGCTTGTCTTTGCTCCTCTACCTTTCCAGGTCTTGAGTGTTATTGGACCGGCATAGTCGACACCAGTATGGGTGAATGTAGGTGATGGAGTCACTCGTGGTTCTGGGAGTTGTCCCATGAGTTGATGAGCTCTCTGAGCACGTTGACGAGCGCATGGAATGCACTTGTAAATGTATGAGCGCATTGGTTGTCTTCCGCCGAGGATCCAAAATTGTTGCCTTACGAATGCAAGCGTAACATGAGTGCCACCATGTAGAGTTCGTTGATGAGCATCGGAGATGATGAGTTTTGTGAGATCTGATGAGCGAGGTAGTATTGCAGGATGTTTGTTCTCTTGGGTGAGTGATGAAATCTCGAGTCTACCTCCTACTCGAATGACTCCTTCTGACAAGGGGAGTTTCAAACTTGGGAATCACAGATTTCCGTCACTTTTATATATATTGTAGGGGAGGGTCCCCTCAACAAATATACCAAGTGGCAAGACGCCATTCGTTTTTATTGTTGAGAAATTCCAATCCAAAGTTCTCGATGAAACTTAAGTAGAAGGAACTTTTATACCGGTTGTAACAATGGTTCCGTGGCGTAGCGGTAACGCTCCTGCTAACTGTGCGGCCGGTCGGCTGTTCAAGTCCCGGTCGAGTTACTTTTTTTTTCATTTTTTTCATTATTTATAATTATAAATTATTAAATAGAAAAATAATGAATAATTAATAAAAAAAATATTCAACAAAATATTAAAAATTTTTTTTCTAATTTTTCTTACCGGCTATGGTACCTACTACCTGAGCGACCTTCGAACGTCACAGTTTACCTGCTCCACCATGTATTGTCCAAGGGATGTACATAAAAAGAAATTTCTCATGCCCCAGGAAAGTGAAATCCCAGCTGCTTACAATTCGGCCACGTCATACATTCTGAAATGTTCACATTCTGTTTCGAGTTTTCGTACGCGTTAGACGTTAAAATAATTTTGTGCTAGTTATTCAAAGTGGTTTGTGAATAATATGGATAAAGCAAGTACGAGTCCTGGAGATCTACATGGAGAATCTATTCTTAATGATTCAATGAAAAATGATATTACGAATGCATTCTTGTATTGTAAATCATTATTAGAAGAAAGTGAATTTCTGGTCAAAAATCCTCCATCACAAATATCACATTCATCTATTGCCATGGGAGAAGAATTTTATAATAGCATTGTGACAATGTTAGATGAAAGAAAAATTATTGAAGATGAAGAATTCATTACAAAAGATGAAGATGATGAGAGAAATGAGTATACGAAGGTATGAAGGATAATTATTTCTGCTATTATTTTTGTTTTGAATTTTTTAAAATTATGATGCTATTAATATTTGATTCATACGAATGACTATCAACGTTATTATGTATGATTCTTTGTATTTATGTAATTATATTAAAAAATATTTAAAAGTTGTTATATTAATAATTATAATATTTTTTTCATGTTTGGTAAAATATTTTTTTGGTATTTCTAGTGCATTGGTGTACCGGAAGATGATGATGATCTTGATCAGGCTCAAGAATTTGCCCCCGAACCACATGATTATATTCCACTGTGGTATAAAGAGAGGGCAGTTGCTATTGCCGAAGTTCATCCAAAATGGAGTTTAAAAAGCCTTCAAAAGCATGGAGTATCTCGATTAAGGATATTTTATAAAAATTAATTTTTAACTTCTTCAAGTTAAAATATATTTTTTTTTATAAAATGCAATGAAGTTTCGGTAGGAAAAATTTCAATAAATTTCATCGTTTATTTAACAAGATATTTAAGTTTAAAGTTCGTGAAATTAACATAGGCTTATATGGAGCATAGACATTTTTATCATTCATTACTGAAAAAAAAGATATTTCCAGAGAACTAACTCACATAAATTTAATGTATAGAATAAAATAAACCTTTTTTTTATGATTTAAAACAAAAAAAAGTTGAAGTTATCGTTTAAATATTAAGATATTAATGAAAATACTTCACTAAAATAACAAATTTTGTGGTTCTCTTCTTTTGACATTGAAAAATCTGGCAACGCCGCTGACAATATAGCAGATTTCTAACTATACGAGGTTGAGATCGCGCCATAGAAATTTAAAATAAATATTTATGTTGCAATTTAATTATTCACATATTTACATATATTTATTTTGTGATAAATTCATATGAATTTATCACAATTTATAGATTTAAAAAAAAAACAGGAATTAGGAATAAAAGGTTAAATGGAGATATTTAAGAAAAAGTAAAATAAACAATAAGTAAACTGAAAACGAAAATTTATTTATTTTTAATAAATATTTTGAAAAATATAATATTTATACATATATAAATATATATCTAAATATATGAACACAAAAAAAATCAATATTTTTTTTTAACTGTTTATGTTTCGAAATAATCACACACTTTGTTAATGATTTTTTCATTACTCGTAACTCGAGGCATCTTACCTGCAGTTGAACCTAAAAGCATTTTTATACCTTCCTTACCGTGTTTATCCCAGGTTTCTTTTAAATTAATTGATGTAATATTTGCTTTAATCATTTTGTTAATAAGTTGTGCTGATAAAATATTTTTAAAACATGAAAAATCTGCTTTTTTTTGTTTTTCTACGAGTTTTAAATGCGCAGAATTAATAATCGTGTGAAGTGGAACAGTAAATTTAATTAAATCAAAGTTAGAAATTGAAAATTTTGTAATAAGATCTATTAAAACAGCAGTATCGTTGACAGCATTATGAGCATCATTCACACTCTGAGGCTTAAGATAATCTTTAGCAAGTTCTTCTTGCTTAAAACTTCCTTTTGATTTAACTCCAGATTTCAACTCTTCTACGTTTTTAAAAACTTTAATTGAGTCAACAAAACCTTTGACAACTGCTTTGACTTCTTCAAATAAATCAAAAGTTTTCATTGCTCTTATAATGTGAAGAGCATCAAACGTTATGCCATTATGTGCAACAAGCACTACACTAGAAGATAGTGTTTTTAAAAAATTCATAAAGCCACTATAAACATCTTTTGCTGGAGTTGTCTGAACTCGTCTACAGCCTTTACTATCTCTCAAAATAGGATTTCCATTCTTAACAAAAAGACCTGTTACATTTGTCACTCTTTCATGAATTTTTCGAGATGGTAAAATATAATTAGAATATTGCGATTTATCACATCGAGCACTTATTTGTACGATTTCTGCTGAAGCACCGAATCCAGATGTCTCCAGGTCAAAAGTGACAGGAATAGTATCTTCAGGTAAATTCTCTTCTGCTGACATTATTTGGTGAATATCAGGATCGCTCAATCCACAGGCACTAGAGTACGTAATTCCTTCACTTTTTTCCATTTTTTGTTTTGATTGTGAACGACGAGTTTTTCGGTTTTTCCGTTGGAGTTTAAACTCTGTTGTTTTTGCATTTGCGGACTGTTTAAGTCGAATATCATCCTTTTTAGATCGAAAATCAAGAGTATGTTTACCCGGTGATACTTGTAGTTTCTGGTAAACTTCAGTAATGTAGCTTGTACCTATATTCTTTTGTAAAGAAGCACAACTTACACGATAACTTAAACTGTCAGATCGACTATAGCACCTAGATTTTGGTGCTTTAGAAGCTACAAAAGCATTAAATGACTCGTTAGCTTGTGACGAACTGCATGGAGCAATTTTAGTTGCATTATTTGCAAATGTTTAAAAAATTTCTCTTATTTTACAATAAAGATCTTCTCCTTTCAATGCTTGTCCATTGGGCAATCCATTATGATGATGACTTTCAGGATTTTTTGAGAAGCGACACCATGCTCCACACTTACTGTGTTTACCAAATGCATGATCAACTACATTCATGATAGCAGCTTCAACTGCTGTTGGATTACCTTTATTTGTTTTTACAGCATAAGAAAAGGCATTTTTCAGATAGTCGATGACCTTCTTCTGATCATTTTTAATACCAACTTTCCATAATTTATTACTAAGTGATTTAATTGTATGATTGAGATCACTTTCTTTTTGAAGATCATAATCAATTTCTTGTCTGATTCGACACATGGTCGAAGCATCATCATCGCCAACTATAAACGCTATAATACAATTTTCATTTTGGAGATGCTCATTATGAGCAATCAATGATGCTGCCATATCTCCTTCCATTGACTTAGCACTTCCAGTGTAATCTGCTGAACATTTTTCACCACATTTACATTGTCCATTGACCCGAGTAGCACAAGATTTACGACGAATTTCAACTCCTAATATTAACCCACTTTCGACTCCAATCAAAGAGCAATGTCCTTAAAAACAAAATTTCGAATTAATTCAGATTTGCAAATTATAACTCCTAATAAATAGTATTCTAAAATTTTAGATCTTCACCTGACAGACTATCATATGAAACCCCATTTCCTCTTGTTTGCCATGCACCATCTAAACTAGCTCGCAACTTAACCCGACCTTTTTCATCATAAGCATCACTTTACAAATAAAAGAGTATTTTTTTAAAACCAAACATAAGAAAGAAATGTGATCTTTAAAATAAATTAGACAACAAAAAAAGTTCAGTAATAAAAGAAAAAACTCCAAGCATAACGCCAGTCATTCAGGAAATAGAGTGCTAAAAGACAGAATAATTAATGAAAGTTTTTGAAAGTTCAAATCAAAAAATAATGCAATACCAGCAATTCATTTATTCTAGTGATAGAGCAAAGCAGTTTTAACATACTTATTTTACTATTATAGCTTCTGGAAGTGATTTAGTTAGTACCTAGAAATCTAAAAAAACATTTTCCTATAAGAAAAACATTGGTTAATTATGCGAACTCTTACAATATATATATTTCTCCTGTATGAAATCTGTTGAAAATATTAAAACATGAAATACATAAACGAATCGAATGTTCTTTTTTTCAAATTTTATGAATCATTATATGGTATATAAAGAAAAAAATTGAATAGAAATAACCTATTTTTGACAGACGTCATATTTACCTTTGATATTTGAGAATAGTCAACTCTTTTTCTTTTCTGATTGCCTGGATATAAGTTTCTTCTGCTAATGTATTAATTACTGGCCCAACAATTTTTTCATGTTGTGATACAGTGACTGGATTGATACTGGGGACATTTGCTGCAGATAATATCCCATTTAAATGGGTTACACCAATGCCTGCATCAAGCATAGCTACAAATAACAATAATTGCTATTCACTACACACATCATAACTACATTTTTCTGTAAAAATAAACAACTTACCCATAGTAATTTTGAGATTCACATCATATCGTTTCCTATCAGTATCATCTGATGTTAAACTGCTTTTAGCTGTTTTAACATCATATAATGCTAAACAATTATGACACCTCACTTTTACAAAATTGGCAAGACCAACTTGTGTCTCTTCCTCGATATAAAGCAATGATAAAGCTTCATTGCAAATGTGACACCATAAATCGCCTCCCAACTGATCATACTCCACAAAACGTCGTCCATTAATTTCTATTTCAGCATCGTTTTGAGGTGCTTTTCTGCGTTTAACTGCGGCGCGAACATTATCAAGCCACTCTAATTTTCTTTTGGTCACAAATCTTTCTTTTTCACGTAATTGCTGATTATAGGCCATGATTTTAAATGTCAACGTAAACCAACCGCCAGATACACATTACTTAACCTTACATTACCCAATTCATTGGTACCAACCGTTTATTAAATTGCAACGTTGCCATATTTAATTTAATATTTTTATCATTATAAATACATAGAAAGAGATATATTAAATTCAGTTTTGTTATGTTTTTGCAGTTTGGAAGAATGACTCAAGTAGATGTTTTATTTTATGGAAATTAATTTTTTCTCAATATTTATAAAAGTTATTGAATTATTAATAGTAAAAATTCAGTTTACTAACTATTTAACATTTAAAACAAAAAAAAAATGACGGAATTAATAAACTTTTTCTAAATTAATTATAGTTGTGAAACTACTAGCCCGTAAATATAAATTTTCCTTAAAGCATAAGCAGAATTTATACCGATGGAAAGAAGATGTCAAGTGTGGAGGTACTCATTTTGACAAGTGGAACATTATTGATAGTAATACTTACGAACAATTTTTGGAAGCCCGATCTAATATGGAGCAGGTATTAAATTTTCAGTTTGATGAGATCTGATTATTATATTTTATAAGCATATGGTTTCATGTTATTTTATTTTTTTCTGTCATTTTTCTCAAGGTAACCACAAGAACATTGCAACAGTGGGCAATGAATGCTGCCTTCCAATTTTTATCGGAAGAATTTCATTTCATTGCTAGTAAATCATGGGTGGAAAGGTTTAAAAAAAAACACGGAATTCGCCAACGTAAAATTACAAAGTTTATAAGTCATAAAGAAGTAGCATCTATCGAAGAAGTGATGGAAAGTGCAGAAAAATTCCGTCTGCAAATGAAAGCATTAATGTCTGGATTTGATTTGGATTATATTATTAACACTGATCAAAGTGGATGTCAATATCAATCAACATACAACAGATCATTGGCAGAAAAAGGAGCGAAAACAATTTTCGTTAAAAAAAAGAACATTAGCTTAACTACTCATTCTTATACCGCACAGTATGCACTAACGGCTTCCGGGAAAGTGTTACCATTTGTTTTTGTATGTTTACGCGAACCAAGTGGAGCATTTGGAGCACAAATAAAAAAACAAATTAATCAGTTGAGTGAGATGTATAAGAATATTATTATAACGTGTACAAAATCTGGCAAGCTAACTAAACAAGAGTATGAAAAGTTTCTGAAAACTTGTCTATTGCCTTATGTGCAACATAATAAATTCCTTCTGATTATAGATTCATGGGATGGTCAAACAGACACGACAGTGTATGACGATATTTTTTCTAATGAAAATGGTGAAGCTACTTGTACAGTAAAAATTATCCCACCGAAATGTACACCCATTTGCCAACCGTGTGACGTCTACTTTTTTCGACAAATAAAAATATTTATTAAAAAAATTCAAAATGCTCCGGAGCTATTGGCAGAGAACAGGGAATTAACATCAAGAGAAGACATCATAAAAATTCATTCTCTTATATTGCATCAATTAAATTCACCAAAATTTACAGCGATGATCCAGTATGCTTGGTTTGCCTCCAAGTTGATTGATGAAAGGAAAATATTTATGAATGTAAACCAATTGTGCTTCTCCATACATAATTTTAAAACAAAATGTAATTGCAACAATAATAGTTTTATAAAATGTGCGGTTTGCGATCAAATTTTATGTTTTAAATGTTTCTATGATGATTATCATCCAAATAAATGTATAATTATGAATGATTCTGATGATGATATAGAAAGCGAATAAATATAATATTCTCATTGTAATTGTGTAATATTGTAATTACACTTTTTTATACTTTTTCCTTATTTTTAATAAATAAAGAACTAAATTTCTTATAAAATTTTTAATTATTTATTTTCATATTAAATAATGAATGATTATTAATTATTTTGTTGAATATTTTTTTCATTAATTATTCATTATTTTTCTATTTAATAATTTATAATTATAAATAATGAAAAAAATGAAAAAAAAAGTAACTCGACCGGGACTTGAACAGCCGACCGGCCGCACAGTTAGCAGGAGCGTTACCGCTACGCCACGGAACCATTGCTACAACCGGCATAAAAGTTCCTTCTACTTAAGTTTCATCGAGAACTTTGGATTGAAATTTCTCAACAATAAAAACGAATGGCGTCTTGCCACTTGGTATATTTGTTGAGGGGACCCTGCCCTACAATGTATATAAAAGTGACGGAAATCTGTGATTCCCAAGTTTGAAACTCCCCTTGTGAGTCAATGTGAGCGGTGAGTCGATCAAAGGCGTGATGTTTCGGCCACGGTTCCCTATTCTCGATCATGGTGAGTTCTGTTGAGAATTGATTTCGTTGAGTGTGCTTGACCCAGGACATCAACGCTTTCTGGATGTCATCAGCGTTGATGGGATATGCTAATGATGAGTTCGGTGATCTCTTCATGCGCGCTATGACTCTAAACAAAATCGCTGTAAGTCGTAGTAATCGATGAAGCGATGAATGCCTCTGGATGAGTTCCCAGTCTTTCTCTGGTTCTTGTTGTGATGTTGTAAGTGTCATCCCAGGTCTCTCTTCAAGAGGGACGTCTGGATCAAGCTTGAATTGATGAGTTGGCCAGGATTGTGAGTCGTTGAGCAACCATGGTGGTCCAAACCACCATAGTGGATGAGCCTTGAGTGCTAGCGGCGTTAATCCCCTTGATGCGCAGTCAGCTGGATTTTCTTTGCCAGGAACGAATCTCCAACGGCCGTTTGGAACGATTTCATGTATTAATGCCACTCGGTTCCTAATAAAGTCCTTCCAGCGTGACGGTGATGAGTGTAGCCACGTGAGCGTCACGGATGAGTCAGTCCACAAGTATGTTGGTACATGAGGAGCTACCTTGGTTTTTGAACATACCATGGTAGAATGAGTGCCTGTTTGAGGTGAGTGGACTTTGATATACACAACTGCCGCCATTGCTTGTTGTGATGAGTCGGCGAATCCATGGATTTCTATTTGTGAGCCCGTGGTGAGTTTTATCTATCTTAGTATTTGAATAGTGGGGATTTGAGTGAGTTCTTGTTTGAATGCTGACCATTTATCAGCTCGTTGTTGTGGTAAGTGGTCGTCCCAGCCTAGTTTTACACGCCAAAGTTCCTGCATGAATATTTTGGCACAAATTGTGAGTGGTGAGATAAAACCAAGAGGATCAAAGATTTGAGCAATCTCTGAGAGGATGAGTCTTTCGGTGAGTTTTCATTGGTGGCTTGAGTTTGAAGAAAAATTGATCAGATGTTGGTGACCAATGTAGTCCTAAGACCTTCGTGCTGCTTTCAGATGAGTCAGTGAATGCATGAGGTTTTGGTTTATCTTTTGCTTCTGCCTGAGCGCATTGGTTGAGTTTTGGGTGATTGCTAGTCCATTTTGCAAGTGGGAACCCGCCCGCCATGCAGAGGTGTGACACCTGATCTGCTGTTTCTTGGAGCTCTGGAAGTGTGTCGGCGCCTCCGAAGATATCGTCAACGTACCTTCCATGTGTGAGTGGGTTGATTGCAAGAGGGAATTTCTGTCCTCCATCCTCTACCAGTTATAAAAATACACGTACTGCTAGATATGGAGCTGGTCTAGTTCCATAAGTAACAGTAGTGAGATGATAATGAACTGGATTGTTGTGTTCGTCGACCCAAAGAATGCATTGTAAATCCCAGTCTCGTTGATCCACCGAGATCTGGCGAAACATTTTAGTGATGTCAGTTGAGAAGATGAATTTATGACGACGAATCCACAATAAAACATCCATGATATCCTTCTGTAGTTTTGGTCCAGTGTAAAGGATGTCATTGAGTGCAATTCCTGATTGAGTTTTTCGAGATCCGTTGAATACCACTCTCAACTTGGTAGTAGTACTGTCTTCTCGAAGAACACCGTGATGAGGCAAATAAAATAAGTGTTGAGTACTGTCAGTAAACTGGTGAGTTGGTAGGTGACTAGATAAACACTCCTTGGGAACCCTCAACCCTCCTGGAGCCGGAGCACCATGTGCCAAGGTCATCCCCTTAGAATGATCATCCAGAGCACCACCGTTATTGATGAATCCAGCTACTGACTGGTCTGAAATCTTTTTCAAGTGACCAAGTGTCTCGTATTCTTCGAGAAACGATGAGTACATGTCCTTATAGATTGAGTTCTTGTCCAACCTTCGTAAAAGATGTTGTAAACAATGATGAGCAGTTCGTGATGAGTCTCCAAGTTGAGAGAGTGATGAAATGAGTGGCAGGCGTAGTATGTAACGACCTGTTGGATCTCTTGAGTGCGTTGATTTGAAATGAGCTTCACAAGCGGCTTCATCTGTAGTCAGTTCGTTGGCTGAAGATACAGGAACTTCCTCTTGTGTCCAGAATTTGGTGAGCAGCTCGTCAAGCTGATGAATGTCTTGGTCAATCGTCGCGTGATGAGCATAATGTAACGAAGAGTGCGATAAGTCGATTGGACCAATAATGATCCACCCAAAAATGGTGAGCTGTGCAATGACCTCACTTGGGGCCTGAGGTCTAACCTCAGGTTTAATTATCTGACCATAAACGTCTGCGCCAAGTATAATGTCAACAGGTCTGGCTACCATGTAGTCTGGATCGGCCAACTGCAAATCCGCGAATTGTGGCAGTGGACCAACCGTACCAGAAAATGATGGTAATAACCTAGTGAGATCCTTGAGTATGTGAGCGCCGACGTTGACTGAGTCTGTTGAGTACCTGGACCTTAGTGTGAGTGCAGCTTTCCCCTTTGCCCGACCAGCTTGCGTTGCTCCTACCCCAGTGATTGACAGCGACGAGCGTTGTCGCGGTAGTTTGGCTCGCTTCACCAGTGCTTCTGAAACCAAAGAAACTTCAGAACATGGGTCTACGAGAATGCGTACGGTATGAGTGTGAGCAGGAATGATAAGGTTAGCTACGCTGGTTGCGAGGAGAATTAGTGAGCAGTGAGTATTTTCAGAAGAAGCATTAGGTGAGTTTGATAGGCTATAATCTGCATTGATGAATGCAGGTG